TTCACCTATTTCCGAGTTGTTCAATTTGTGTATGTCATCTAGAAGCATCCCTGATTGTTGGAGAGCTTCTCGAATAACCCCAATTCCCAAAAAAGGATCTTCCAAATATCGACCGATTGCCTGCAAATCAGCATTATTGAAAGTTTTTGAAAGAGTCCTTCTTAACCGGCTGACCCCTTAATCTGTCACCCATGACACCATTCAGTTTGCATACAAACATTCGCTTTCCACTCTTGATCCTCTTGCTCGCGTTGTTCACTCCGTTTCATCCTTGTTGAATAAAGGGGCTGGCACTGTCCGTTTAACTTTTCTTGATTATGCTAATGCTTTCGGATCACTTGACCGCGGCATTCTCATTTAACGTCTTTCGGATTGTAGTCGGGCACCTAATTTACTGAATGTACTAATTAATTACTTCATTCATTGGACGCAATACACTTTTTGTAACGGTCAATCTTCCTCCCTGCTAGAGGTTAAGTCTGGAGTTTTTCAGCGTGCAATTTTGTCTCAATTTCTTTTTCCATCGTATATTAAGGACCTTCCCATCCCTCCCAACTTTATCGCCTGCAAGCATGCTGATGACGTGGTCCCTCGACTGTTCCTGATTGTTTCTGACAAATTCAAGTTTGTCTAAATAACATTTTTAGTTGGTCGACTTCTCGATCTTTAGTGCTAAATGTAGATAAATGTGTGAATGTTTCTTTTAGCCTTAAAACAGGCATACGTTTGAGCAATTAGCCTGTACTTTCTGCTAATGGTAATACCATCCCCAAAGCTAACTCTGTGAAATATCTTGGAGTCACTTTGTCACATAATCTTTGTTGGTCCAAACATGTTGAAGACGTTTATATTCAGGTTCGTAGACTATCCTTCTACGCGTTTAGGCTTGAAAAGCTCAGCGTTCCCTTAATTGTAATTCTTAAATTTGTGACTGCATGCATTCTTCCACATTGGTTGTACTGTTCCGCCGTATATTTTCCTGGTCTGAAGGAGAACGACTTTATTCTCTTTTCCAGATCTCTTAAACTTCTTTCTCGTTACAGCGGCACTTCAAAGACCATTTTGGTTGACTTTATTGTGAGCAAGCATTTTGATTCATGCGATCGATTTATCAGCCATATCCTGTCCAATGAAGAACACTGCCTGCACTCCCATCTCAATAAATCGGCGTCTCATCCGAGTACCCGTCCCAAATTTCGGATTCTTTGTGCACGCACCACCATATACAAAAACAGTTTGCTCCCTTATTTTGCTCCTATCTTGGTCAACCGAGCAAATATTATTATTGACCTGAACAATCATCTGTCACACGAGGCTTTTATCTAATCTGTTTGTTTTCATTTATTAAATGTAAATTTTCTTATTTTTCCAATGCTTAACGTTTTTCTCACTGTAACTTGTCGAAAATGCTGAAAATTCATTCTAGCGGGTGCATAACGCTTGATTTGACTTGACTTATTAAACACGATATCCTTGTACATTCAGAATTGCCGCTTATTACAGTTCGATTCCGTTTCTGAGTTCTGTGTTCTGGTTTCATTTCGAGTCCAAGTTCTGGGTTGGACTATTTCTGCACGGATTTCGATACGTATACGAATTACTATTCCGAATTCTAACTGCGACACAAACAAACATTTATCAGGATTAATATCAAACTTATGGGAGCGAAATCTTTCAAGCAAAGCACGCAAACGTTTGTTATGTAACTGCCTGCTAGGACCATGAACAATAATATATTCCGGATAGGCACACACACCTTGTAAACCAGAAATGATGGAATTAATGGTATTATGGAAAATAGCGGGGATACACTGACTTCAAACGGTAGAAAATTGTAGCGAAATAAACCAAAAGGTGTTAACAGTCGTAAGTTCGTGAGACTTTTCATCAAGGAGAATTTGAAGAAATGCATCTCTTAAGTTCAGACTAGAGAAAAACTTGGATCCATGAAGTTGGTGCAGAATGTCTTCTGGTTCGGTAGCACAGCTGGACTGTCTGTCTGTTCAAAGTAGCTCGATAGCCTCCACATAGTCTGGGAATATTCCCGTCACGTTTTAGTGGAGTAACAATTGGCGTGGCCCAAGCCGAAGAATTCACTGGTGTCACAATTCCCTTTCTGGCCATTTTGTCTAACTCCTTTTTTATGGATTCACGAAGTCCAAGTGGGATAATCGGACGTTTCATGAACACCGGAGAACCGGTCGCTTCTAGACTCACCAGATTCATTTTGATACCACGGTTTACCTTAGAGCATTTAAGTAATAAGTGACAAAGTCGTGATTGATGAGAGATAGACATAAATGAAAATGACAGATGCATACGATTCATGAAATTCAAACCAATTATAGAAATATCGGAATCAATAACCAAAAACGGACAGTGAAACGTTTGTGACTGATCGTCTGTAAGAAGCAGTTCACACAATCCTAAGACGGGCAAAGAACGACCAATAATTTTTTCAACTGAGATGTCTGTTAGGGAAAGTACAACTGGGGGGTTTAACTGATAAAATACCTTGTTGGAAATGAAAGAGTCACCACTACAGGTGTCCATGATGAATGTATGGCGAATGGAGTCATTAGTGATGAAATCACGAGTAATGTGGCGAAAGGGACGTGAACTTGTACTGGTTAGAGTTAAGGAATGCAAATCACACAATAAATCTTCAGAGGAATGAACAGTCGTACGTTTTGTAAGAAATGACTTCGCACTTTTACAAACCGATGAAATATGGCCAAGCTTACCGCAATTGTGACACTTGGCATTACGAAATCTACATGTTAGCCGCGAATGTCTTTGACCACAGGAATTGCACTTGCTCCAGCGTTGAATCCGTTGGTCACCGTGGGCTGGAGAACTGACGTTGCTTGATGTTTTCGAACTCTTCGAAAATCCGCCTTCGTCGGGATGGTGACTGTTTGCTGGCACTAAACAACACGTTGGGTTCATCACAAACAATGGCATGGACATCTTGGTACTGTTTACAGACTGCCTTAGCTGACTGAAATGTGCAATCATGCATGAGCAAGAGCTTTTGCAGCAGTTAAGGGCAATTAATACCAGCAACTAATCGATCATACAGCTGGATTTGTAGTTGATCTCTAAAATTACAACGCGATGCTTGAGTTTGCAGCTGGAGAATGAATTCACGTATGGTTTGGCCTCCACCACGTGTGAAAGAATGAAATTTGGCTCTCTCAGCGGCTTCGAAACTAGCTGGCTGTAGATGTTTCAGCAGCAAGGTTTTCAAGGATTCATACGACAAAGATGTAGGAGTGTCAGGAAAAGCCAAATTCTTCAACGGTAAATATGCATCCTTTCCGATAACCGTTAGAAAATTAGCCGTTTTGCATTCTCCTTCGAGTCCTTCCCGTGTAATACACCAAATCTCGAATCGTGCAAGGTAATCTTCGACTTCACGTGCACTGGTATGTCTATTTAGGTTCTCCAAATCACAGGAATCCATTGGTTCAAAACGACCGCGACGCCAGTTGTTGTAGTTAGCACTCGGACTAGTAATTCGTATACGCATCGAAATCCGTGCAGTAATAATTCAACCCAGAACTAGGACTCGAAATGAAATCAGAACACAGAACTCAGAAACGGAATCGAACTGTAATAAGCGGTAATTCTGAATGTACAAGGATATCGTGTTCAAGAAAACAAAAGAATTCATCGTTCATGAGCAATCACGATACTTTGCGACGAGTTGGGTCTCTTAAATGCTTGTTCGTTAGGCGATGTCTGTCGTCTAAAGGATGCCGAATGTATATGTTTATTTGTTTTTGCTCAATACCAAGCAACGGTAAACACTGGGCCTGTAACAGAGAAAACGTTGGTCGCTAGTTGATAGTAAAGCATTTAGTTTGAGAGAAAAAAGGTTAGAACGTTTAGTAACCACTTTTTCTAATAAACCATCTTATATGGCGGCTATTAGAGAGGGAGAGAGAAATCGATAGAACCTAAAGTAAGATTGGTTTGATCCATGTTTAAAGTCGCCCACAATTGAAATCAAACAGATGTCAACAAAGGAGTGCCATGACAGGAATAAGTGCGGTATGAAGCAGTATGCAGTATGGAGCTAATGTCGATTTATAATGTGGTTATTATCCCAGTTCGTCAGCTTTTTCCTCTATATTTTCGAAAATTTTCCAAACCGAGTATGCTGATCAGCAAAGCTAGTATGTTTTTGTTCAATTACTTTTCCTATGTGCGTGTAAACTTTGCACATGAATTCAAATGATGCTCATACAAATTAGTTATGAACTTCTACAGTTGGATTGAATAAACAATGGCAGCCAGTCTACGTTGAAGTAACTTAATCTTTCTTTAGGAGATTAGAAAAAATAACAGGTGAATAATAAAATAAAACGAGGAAAACACACTTTTACACGAATCAAGAGATAACCGACTGTTTAATTCGAAGTTTACGGATATGGAAAGAAAGTCATCGAAGTTGAGTGACGATACGTTGAACGTGGGATGTGTAATAAAAAGTGTCAACGATAAAAGCGCTTAGGTATTTCATACAAAGAGCAAATGTTGATAATGATCAATGGTGGGACTGCTATTTTCACAAGTGTGTGCAAAAGCAGTCTGTCACCCGGAACACTTACGTGTCTTACTCCAGTCAAAAAATCGGATTCGGGTAAACTCTAGGACCACAAAACAGGAATGACTTTCTTTTAGCAGAAGTAATAATTCCCTGGAATACGAACAGCGTAAGAACACAATCGACACCAAGAAATAACACCACATACCCAGATAGATTTCGGTACTAAAAATTTCTTTTGTTTTTATACCAATGTATGAGGTCATCTTAACAAATTCTCCGAAATGGGGTGTTTGGAAGCAAGGTTTCGGTGCGCTACTGCTGTTATAACTGAAACCTGGCTGCCCGCCGATATTCTCGACTCAGAATAGGGTCCAGCCGGAATATCGCCGCTCAGACGTGAGCGTCCTATACGAGGCGGTGGAGTGATACTTTACCATAGAAACAATCTAATATGAACAGCTTGATATCTCCGATGCATCCACTGATTTGTTATGGTGTTCACTAAGATTCTCCAAAAAACGATAGGTGTATAAGCGGTGCCATGTACCGACCTCCCGCATCTTCAGACTCAGCTACCGAGATTCTCTTGCTAACCATGAGGAATGCATTATCAGTAAAGTTCAACCATGTCCTCATAATAGGTCGTTTTACTGTTCCAATTCTTTTAGAACGAGGACTTAGCGTCAGCCATTCGAGAGACAATTACCAGTTCATTGGCTTGCACCCATTATACAACCATGTAACAGAACCCACCAGATTTGGAACAGGTCACGTACCATCAACACTGGATTTAGTGCTGGCTAACTAGGAGCTGATGGTGGAATCTGTCAATGTTAGGTCTCCATTAGGACACAGTGATCATGCCGTATTGAAGTTTGGTTGTATAGGCTACACCCCTTAACCAAGAAAACCGAAAGGGCAGTACTCATGCAATCGTAGACTATAAAAAGCTGCAAAACCTGGCAATACTTAAGCAATGGGTCCTCCCCGAAGACGATATCGATCTTTTGGTGGCATGGAAGAGCTTCACTGATCATCTTACCAAAATTTCACGAGATGATTGCACAAACTCTGTCGATGCAGATGATCCATTGGACAAAGTTTATTTGGACTTATACACAGCATCTGATCGAGTGAACCACCAAACTCTACTGCGAAAACTCTACAATTACGGAGTAAGAGGTTTGGTTCTTGACTAGATTGAAGGGTTTCTCCGTCCAAGAACCAGTCATTATCAGAGTTTATCAACGCTGCCCGAGGGGTCCCTCAAGGATCCGTACTGAGGCCTCGTCTCTTTCTTGCATTTATAAACGACCTGCCACATGTCTTGGGGCTTAATACACTACTTTTTGCAAATGAGGCTAAAATCTGGAGAACAGTAACACATCCAGAGGATTGTTTGGCACTCTAAGAAACCATCAATAGTCAATCGCCAATGACACTGAATTCAACATTTCAAAATACAATGTTATTTTCATGCAGCACAAGACTCGTTTCTCTTGTGTTCTGGAGAACCAAGTACTACTGCATGCCACTGATGAAACGGATTTGGGAATTATGGAACAGGGGGCGTAGGATGTTCCACGCACTGTGCCAGAGCATCACCCATAACTCTAAAGCCAGTTGGACATTTTAAACGTACTTTCGGGCGGTTCGGAATAGCACTGTTCCCACGTTTATTATCAGCGATCATTCGGCCACACACGGAATACGCTGTTCAATTACAGAATCCATGAACCGCGACAAGAAGGCTGTAGAACGTCCACAAAGGTTGGCAACAAAATTGTCTTTATGACAAGCCATAGACCGCAAGACTGCAAATGCTGGGGCTTTACTCATCTCAGCACCGTCAAATTCGGGGAACTCAATCCTGACACATCATCGTACAGCGAAATACAATGAAGCGAACTTCACTGAGTGCTGCCAAACTCTCAGTGGTAAAATTGAAGGTGGACAGGGATTGGATCTATTTTGAGGGAGGGAGAAGAAGGTGAGCTACTATGTTCAACACACAGAGTACGCATTCGAACTATGCATACATACCGTTTCAAGCATTCTGACCAGATAAGAAAAGACAACAAGAACGCCACTGCTGCCGGTTCGCTGCCATATCCTTCAATGTCTCCAACCAACCAGTTGTGGAGTCTTTCGGACCTCAACCTGGAAGGCGAGAGACACCTACTCTACCTAATGGATCTGTGCATTTCTTCACACCTCGTCTCCAGGTCATCTGTTGACCTCCATGTAGTTTCCTTCAGCCCGGATTAGCCACAGCGAATAAAGCGTGGTGCGGCATACGATGGCTGGGCATACGCAATACGTGCCCTATCCAGCGAAGCCTAGTAATCTGAATTCGGTGTGCTAGCAGGTTTATACCTGATAAACTCCCACACACACGACGGCTTACCTCCACGTTACTAACCCGTTCGCTCCATCCAACGTGATCTAAACTGCGTAAACACCTATAATCGAAAACTCCTAGTCGAAGGATATCTTCTACCCGCAAATTCAAGGTCTCACAACCATCAAGCAGAACTGAACGAACGCTAGCACAATATTCACGACCTTTCAATTTCAGTGAAACGTCGCGTCTACGCCAAAAGTGTTTCAGTCCTGGGTATGCTGCTCGATCCTTACACGACCGTAGGTGTGAATACAGTGACCTCAATAGGTTAACGTATTTCTG